AAAATGTTTTTTCCTAGTTATGCAACTTTACATAGGTTTGGCCTTTGTTTAGCCTATGACAACCTTCCCACAACAAAACTTGCCCTCCTGATCATGACAATAGCATATTGTCATTCCTTCCCCTTTGAGTGTTGCTTTCAACAGAGTTTCTCTATAATTTGCAATTATTTACTTGGAATGTAGCAGAATATTTGTGTCATGGTCTTGAGCTAATGAAATCATATCACTCCAGTACTTTATTTCTTACACTGAGGTTATGTCTACATAGTAGTGTGTACCTCAAAATAACCTACGCAATTTGACCTACACAAATTGCGTAGCTTATTTCAAAATAGCACTTATTTCGAAATCACTATTCCAATAATTTTCATAATCCTCGTACAATGAGGTTTACAGGAAATTGATGTAAGAAGTCCGTTTTTTCATAATCCTCGTACAACGAGGTTTACAGGAAATTGGAGTAAGAAGTCCGTAATTTCGAATTTTTTGAAATAACGGGCTTATGTAGACAGCACATAACAGTATTTCGGAATAATGGACGTTATTCCAAATTAACTCTGCTGTATAGAGGTACCCAGTCTAGAAAGTGCCAGATTGTAGACAGCACATAACAGTATTTCGGAATAATGGACGTTATTCCAAAATAACTCTGCTGTATAGAGGTACCCTGACTGTCTAGAAAGTGCCAGAATCATCTTAAATTGGCATTGTTTTTATTTAAGATGCTCTTCCACTGACAAAATGCTGTCCACACTGGTGCTTTTGTCAGTGAAACTTTTGTCGGCTGGAGGGAGGCATTCACACCCCTGAAAGTGACAAGAGTTTTATGCTGTTTACTTTCTTACCTTTTCCTTTTTACTGAGTTTCAGCAGTATGTGTAGTATCTTGATAACATAATAGCTCAGAAGTACCTTCAATAACAGTATTTTTATACGTTAGTTTTTTTATTTATTTGGGGAATAAAATTTGTTTCACCTACTGAACCTACTAATCTCTCAATCTGCCTACAAGTATTTTTCTTTGATCTAAATCTATAAAAGCTACAGATGCAACTCAAGTGCATGTGGTGGTTCTGCTAAGTTATACTGTCAACGAGGCAAGATTTTCGGGTTTCCTTTTCAGAACTGTGGCCAATTCACTAAGCATTCACCAGATCAACAACTTCTGGCTATGATCAAAAATCATATTCAGCAATCAAGTATCAGGCTTGCAGCCCAAACATACTAGAGATGGTATTAAAAGTAATTTAGACAAGTAGCCAACTAAGGCATTACATTTCATAGCGTTCTGTGACTGAAAGGAATTACATTGCTCAAAGAAGACAAGTAGCCTGAAGAATCCATTCTCCTGGTCTCATCCTCAAGTCATGGGTTCCAAGGAAGGATGACTGACCAGAAGACAGACCTCACTCTATTCAGGAGGAGAGGAAGGAAGCTAGGGGGAGGGAAACAACATATGGAAGACATGCTTTGTTGTTTTCAAAGATGTAAAAATAAAAAATATATGTTTATTAAGCTATAGTGAGACCCCAAAAATCACTCCGTCAGCTCATGATTTTTGTCACATATTCCTCCTGTCTCTTCTATTCCCTATCTGATTGTATTCTACTGTTCATCTTTTTGAACGGTTTCTTTATTAAGCTGTACAATTGTTAAGACTTTTAGCTCTCAAGCTACATTGTAATCACTTCAGATAGCCATTAAGCATGAAAGCTCAAGGAAACCTTGGAATGGAGCGAAGTGGATAAAGATGACTGAATGAACAGATGTCCAGCTGGCAAATGATCATCTCTCAGAAAATGATGCTAGCCCAAAATGTTAGTAACCTGGATGGTTGCCCTGATTGCCTTGAAGATCACTCAAGAGGAAACTAAAGATGTTAAATTTAGATTAATCAGCTAATAGAATAGTCGATGCAATTTGCAGTCCCCTGCTGGCCCTGTGCTCCCTACTTTTGAAATGTACAAGAGCCTAACCCTAAGCCCTGCTCTTGTACATTCAAAACGTAGGGAGTATGGCTCCAGTATAGTGCTGCTTGAGGCCCTGCTGACCCCGTGCTCCCTGCATGTGCTTTGCTTTTGAAATGTGCAAGAGCCCAACCTTCCTACAATCTGAGCCCCCTTAACCTTCCTTTGTTCCAAGGGTGCCAGGTTCATCCATCGCCAAGCTGGTGTTGAGTGAACCCACGTTGGATGGGCAGGCTCGAACCCTTTAGTCCCCTGCTGGCCCTGTACTCCCCTCACACCCTTTGCTTTTGAAATGTACAAGAGCCTCCTCCTGGGCTCTTGTATATTTCCAAAGCAGAGAGCAGGGGGACTGCAGGGGACTTCTTGAGTCCTCCGCTCGCCCCATGCTCCCGCCGCACTTCCGTGTTTGAAATGTAGCAAGAGTTGGGCTCCTCCAGTAGCTACCACCAGCTTGGCAATGGATGAACCTGGCACACATTTCAAAAGCAGAAGTGCTGCCAGTTCTCCACTGCGCCCATGTCTCCCCCCCATAGAGACAGTGCTGAGGGGAACTTGCTTTTAAGCCGGCTCCCCCCCAACACCTCCCCTTGCTGTCTCTCTCTGATAGAGGCAGCAAGGAGGGGGAAGCGACTAGTCTAGTCACTAGTCGACTATCTGGTAAGCATTTGCATATCGGATAATTGACTAGTCACTTACATCCCTAGAGGAAACCCCATCAGTTTTCTGTTTAGGTCATCTTAGATGCTATCAGCAGGGCTCGACAATTAATGTAATCTACTCACCCGTGGCAAGTAGATTTTAGCCCGGTGCGGCTGCACAGTGTGGTCTGCGCATGTGGTCTGCGCTTGGCAAGCCCTGGCTATCAGTATAAGAAAGGAAACCAAACCTGACAAATGCCTATGTTAGTCTTTGCTCCTTTGCTTAATCCCTTTCATTGCTTCCACTGCCATTAGGAAAAAACACCCTAAACCAACCCACCAGTGAACATATCATTCCTTTTTTCCATAATGCATGATTCTGAGCTCTCTGCCTGTCCTGGTCTCTATCAGCTATCACACCTTGAAGATGAAAGGTGTGTGCAGCCCAGACTATGGCTCCCATTCAGCATTTAGAAATAAGCACATAAATATGTCCTTACTTTAAAGAAAGATAAGATAGAGGGAGTAATACCTTTTATTGAATCACCTTCAACTGCTACAAGCCAAGGTACACTTTTCTTCATGTCTGGGGAAAGAAATCAGTGTGTGTCAGTTAAATCGTATTTAATGTAGCATATTTTTCCAGTGAAGAAAGGCTACATCTGGTTATCTGTTTAGATTGCACAATATGTAGTTTGGAATTAAAAACAGCCAATATCCAGCAAGCTCCACATACAAGATTTGGGATTTTGCAGCAGTCATGTCCTGGAATAATTCAGTATCTAGATTTTTTTTTGTTTTCTTTTTGTGCAGCAGAAGCATCTCCACTTGTTTTCTACTAATACCATCAAATTTAAAACTGACAGCCAAAAAGAAATTATGAATATGGCTGTATCCAATGCCAAAACTGGCTATGTTCTCATATGAGCAAGGGATGTTAAATTGTGTTTATTCAAGTAAAAGTATAACCACTGAAAAATTCAGTGATTGCATGGTTGCATGCAGGGGGAGGCCCTGCCTCTCCCTCTCTTCTCCACCCCTGCTTTCTGCATCAGAAACAGCAATGAGGGCTGGTGCAATTGGGAGCTGGTGCAGCAGTACAGGGGGAAGGCAGCAAAGGGGAGAGGGAAGGGAAGGAGAGTGGGCAGTGTGTAACCATTTACACTATCATATTCCTAATATGAGCAATCTAATTTGGGGACATGGGCCAAAAATTTGGCTGGAACCAGGTGCTAAATATGAGGATTTGTAACATACATGCTTCAGAGTCTGGGTTTTTTTTGGGAACAGGGTGTTTTGGGGTTTGTTTTTGTTTTTTTGATAGTTCTCTATAATGATACAATTGGCAGTTTAAGAGTTTAAGGAAATGCAGCTTTTAATATTCACCTCCCTCCAAAAAAAGTGCTTCAAGCTATGCTATCAAGTGCATTTGAATTGCCTTTCCTAGCTTCACTGGTGGTTTTCTGGAGGGGAAGATGAAGCATCACCTTTAAATTTAAACATACAGCCACTTGCTTTCCCCCAGGTCCAGCCATACGTGTGTCTGTGTGCAGAGGAAGATGAGTGGAGATTAGTTATCTCCAGTATTTATGCAGCCCGCCTTCTCTGGGCCCGGAGGAGCTGGTGTGGGGGGAGAGTGGATGAGGCGAGGGGGGCCAAGTGCGGAGATGAG